AGTTGGGGCGGGGACTTTGGAGAAGGGGTGGGGTTGGGGCGTGGGCGGGGCCCCGTGGAGTGTCCTCTTTTTGGACACTCAAAATATGGTAACCCTATTGTTACTGCTCCGCTGAGGTCAGGCTCCTCCCTTTGTAGCATTACCGATGGCTAGTGGGGAAGCAGCCGTGAAGGAGGGTGGTGACACCAGGTGGAGAATAAGCTGCAGCAGCAGATGTGCTCTAGCACTAGGTGACTGGTCCTGTTCTGTGTGTTCGCTCCCCTGGCTCCCCTGGGAGGCAGCGCTCCCCCTCTGGCTGGTCACTAGAGTACACTCATTGGTGCAAGTGCACTGACAGGTGGGCTGGCTTCAATGGAGGGATGGGGGCTCCTCTGGGATCTCCCCTCCCTGTACCCCACTCTACTCCTCTTCAGAGACCCCATGTTGCTTTTTCTCTCCTTGTGGCTGAGGGAAAGTTGAATCCATCTCTCGTTGGCACCCATCAGTGCTGCTCTGAATATTGTCCAAGTGGGGCTGTTCAAATCCAATGCAAGTCCTTCCTTCCAACCCCAGCGGGGAAGCCTGCTGACTGCCAGGGGCGGGGGCCAAGCCTGGGAGCCAAATTCTGCTCCCAGTAGCTCATGAGCACTCACAAGGTGGCCGTGCTCCTGTGGGGGGGGTCAGGACGTGGTGGGTGAGAGAAGGCTGTCAGGTGACTGTGGGTTTCTTTCCTCAGGGTGGATCAGCAATGTCCGAAGGGCTGGTGGGGGAACCCGACCTGTGGGCCCTGTAACTGCGACGTGAACAAGGGCTTCGACCCAGACTGTAATAAAACCAATGGGCAGTGCCACTGTAAGGTGAGGGGGCAGCTGTGCATGCATACCCCTCATCTCGCCCACCCTCGGGCACCCGAGCCATGGCCCTCATCCCATCTGCCTTTGTCGGTGGCCTCCTCCGGCCTGTAGTACTCTAGGCAACCACTATCTACCCTGTTCTTCGATGGCCCGCACCCCTTGCACACACCCAACCTGCCAGCACCATTCGTAGTCCCGTGTCCCTGTCCCTGCAGGACTCCATTGCCGGCCAGCTGGAGCAGAGAGTGAATTCCCTGAGGGCCGTCCTTGCTCTCGTGTGGAAAGCTGCGCTTCAGTGTCCCCTCCCCCCCCCTGCTGCTGGGAAGCCTCACAGAGAGCAGAGGGGAGAGGGCAGCGGTAGGCCGGTGGGAAGTGGGGCGTACGTGCGCACAGAACTGGGGAGACCTGTCTGTAAGTTGGGAGGAAGCTGGAAGAGTCACAGCATGTGCTGCTTTGCATAGGATGCTGCCACACCGACCTGGGGCTGGCCCTGATCCCCAAGCTGGGGATGTGCCCAGCCAGCGCAGTGTTAAGAAGCTGAAATTTAGGTGCCTGTCTTCCTAGCTGCTCTTGCTGTTTGGCTGGTCTCCCTCCCCTCCCCACTGTGTCCTTCCCCGTCTTACCAGGCCCCTCACTCTTCCCTGGGGCCCTTCCTTTGGCCACCCTGCTGCTCCCCCTCTCATGATTCATCTGTCTAACCGCCTGCCCTGCCCCTCTCTGGCAGGAGTTCCATTACCGCCCCAAAGGGAGTGACACCTGTCTGCCCTGTGACTGCTACCCCATTGGCTCCTCCTCACGCTCATGTGACCAGGAAATGGGCCAGTGCCACTGCAGGCCCGGAGTGATAGGTCGACAGTGCAACAGCTGTGACAGCCCTTTTGCAGAGGTGACGCCAAGTGGCTGTGAGGGTGAGTTTGGAGACCGGTGTATGTTCTGCATGGGACAGTAACCTGCAGCCAGAGCAGCATGGCCTGACTCTGAGCTCAGGCACTAGAATCTTAGGGACAGTGTCGGCCCAAACTCCCCAGACATTCTCCTGGGACACTGCCCTTGATCCCCTCCTGCGGGACACTCTCCTGGGACAAAACCCCTCCCCTCTGCTCCCGCTTAACTCCAGCTCCTTCATTTCCATTTGCAGTGCTCTATGATGGCTGCCCTAAAACCCTGAGAGCTGGCGTCTGGTGGCCTCAGACCAAGTTTGGGCTCCCAGCTGAAGTGCCTTGTCCCAAAGGCTCCTTGGGTAAGTGATCCTCACGGGAAGGCTGCAGAAAGGGACATGTGGCTGGAGCCCTGGAGGGAACATCCTGCCATGTCCCTCAGCCTCTAAAAGATGGAAACCCCAGCCCACAACAAGGTTCTAACCCCCCTGATGGCCAGCTCCTGCTGCTAGCACTGCCCCGGGCAGTTAGGAGGAGCTGCTGTGATTGTCAGGTTTGGAGCTGTGGAGGCCTGTGTCTCTGAGCTTTGAAGTGTGGAGAATTGTTGTCTGAGGGGAAATGGACTGGAAAAGAGAGAGCAGGAGGAGCTGTGAGAGCAGAGGAGATCTGCACAGACCCTGTTCTAGTCAGAGAGGTGGGGCTGCAACCTCACAATGAGATCCAAGCTACCTGACTGGAGCTTTTCTGGGGGTCTTCTCAACACAGCCCGGAGTGCAGAGCACTTCTGTAAGCAGCCTAGACGTAGGCCCAGGAACATCACTCATACAAAAAACAGGAGGGGCCAAAAGTCCTGGGAACACCCCTTCCCTCTGGCCCCACCTATCAGTGCATCCACTGCTGACCGAGCAGATGCTGTGGGCACTGCACCCTGAGACACAGAGGAAGGTTCTGCACCCACAATGCACTGCTGCTCCCTCCTCCTCCTCGAGTTCAACCCTAGCTGCAGAGAGCCAGAGAGTCCCAGTCAGCTGTAACTGCCACCGTGGGGTGGAGGAAGAGAGCAGCAGCCCAGGCCATGGAGATGACATTCAGCACCTTGAAGCAAAGATGAATCAGTGCAGAGTGGGGATCTGATGTGGCCCTGTCAGCCATGCTCTGCCCCAGCTCCCGAGCGGGCTTCAAAGGTAGCCCCAGCTAGAGTGTGTTGTAGCGATCCAGCTGTGGCTGACTTTGGAGAGTGCCACATCAGAAAGGAAGGAGAGCAACCTCCAGGCCAGTGGGAGATGGGAATCACTGGCTTCTGGGAATCCAGGGCGGTTCTGAGCCTGGGAACTACTGAGCCAAAAAGGGACAGTCCCAGCCCTTCCCCTCCTCCAGACATTTCCCCAAGGACATGCGTTCTTCTCCCACTCCGGGTTTCAGCTCCTAACCATGTCGCTTCTCTTCCCTGTTTTCGCTCCCTCCTGATCAGGTTTGCGGGGTGCAGGTAAGGACCCGGTGTTGTCCCGTTTCCCTCACTGTGTGTTGCAAGGTCTGCGCTGCGTGGCTTTCCATTTCCCTCTCCCTGCCTGAGACACCCGCAGACCCCATGCTTCCAGGGCTGCTGACTGTGTTACTAACGCTGCACCGCGCACTGGCTTCCTTATATCCATATCCGCCCTCGATTGCCTTTCCTATCGCCGAGCAAACTAACCTGCAGAGATTCAACTGCAGCCGGACTCCCTCCCACCCCTTTATGTCTTGCCGCCTTTACGCTGTATCGTTTGACCAATAGGCTGCGGTGCTGGGATCTCTCAGTGCTCCTGCCCCTGTGAGATGTGTGCCAGTTTCCAGTCAGCCTTGGCCATGGGCTACTGAGGAGCTCACTTGTTTAGGCTTTGAGGGGGAAGGGCTAGTAACTAGAGGAAGAGGAGAGTAAGTGCTGTCTGCTCTGCTAGCACCTGCTGCTGGTTGGTTCGCAGGGTGCTATGGGCGTCAAAGGCTAGTGGGCACTTCCCTTCAGACCAGAGGACAGGAGCTGCCATCTATCGGGGAAAGCAGATGAAGGGCCTTTAGAGAGTCCATGGAAAGAAGTGACAGTAGGAGGACCCCATTTGGACTGATCAAGGTGGGGGCCATGTGTGGCCAAGCAGAGGATCTTTTGGGAGGAGCTCTCTGTGCCTGGCAGGCCAGCTTATGGCCCTTGGGCCAGAGCAATGGGGAATCACTGCAACCCATGACCTAGCTTCATCATATCCCATGTCCTAGAAGTAGAGTGGCCCCAACCCTACCTTTAAGGTTGCCAGGTGTTCAGTTTTGTGCCATTAGAAAGTTGGCAACCCTACCTATCTCACATGCCATGTTGTCCATTCACCCTTCTGGGTGGGAAGGGCCATTCTCTAGTTAGCACATCATGAAGGGAGCCTTGATAAAGGAGCCCAATGACTAAGAATGTTCTGCAGGATCCTATCCAAAATATGGCAACTCAGCGAGGCCACAGGGACTGTGACAGGGATTGAGGCTCATTCTTCTGATGAAGGAAGAGCAAGAAGCAGAGAACAGGGAGAGTGGGTCCCCCTTTGCTGGTTGCTTCCACCACTGAGCCCCTTCTGTCTCTGGCCTGGATAGCTGTGTTGATGCTACTGTTGGCAATATGGAAGAGGAGGAGGAGAAGCCTGTAGGGAAAGATAGCGATGATGATGATGAAGGGGCTGGAAGGCTGAATGTGGGAGCTTCTTTGGACCAGGAACTCCTGACCTCTCATCCTGGCTTCCCCACCAACCCGTCTGACCTTGGGCAAGTTGCTTCCCCACTCTGAGCCTCAGTTTCCTCCTCAGTAAAACTGAGATAATGCCATTGACCCAGCTGAGGGTGGGAGGTGCGTTAGTCAGAGTGTGTAGCCCCCTAAATGCTGAGTTGTTATTTTGCTGGCGCTGCTTCCGTTCTGGACATTGACATGGGCAGTGCTGGTGCCACTCATGGCAATAGTGCATTGTGTGCTTCATATAACAGCTAAGTCTATGGGGTGTGATACTGACTGGCATTAATGATGCACTTGCTGATGATGATGATCATTGTGCTGCTTTTGGGATGGATAACGTGGACCCTGCTGGGGGGCTGTTAATGGGGATACTGGTTGTGTGGGTGGTTTTTAAACAGAACTGGTTGATAGTACATATATTATTATTTATATTCCAGGAGCTCCGAGGCTTCAACCAGGATCAGGGCCCTACTGTGCTAGGCTGTGTACATACAGAGTGAGAAATGGTTGCTGCCCAAAGAGCTTATCATTTAAGGACTTGTCTACACAGAGAAAGCTACCAGGATAACGACACTGGCATAACTGTACTGCTGTAGCTATACAGGTGTAACTCCCTGTGTGGACACTCATTCCAGAATGTGTGTGACCACCCGGGGAGATATATGGGTCTAACTAAAACTGTATAATTACACCAGTGTAGTTATACCATACTGACTTCCTCGTGTCAAAAAGTTCTAAGTAGACAAAGGCTGTGAGAGAGAGATGCAGTGTCCCAGCAGGTATTTCAGTGAATGCAAGCACCAGGCCAGGTGGACTGTGATTTGTCAGTCATGTCTTTAATCAGCTGTGGGGGTCAGGTGAGCACTGGGGGAGGCACATACTTGTCTGTCAATATGCAAAGGTGTATAGAACTGAGCCCCAATAACCCCATGAATTACACTGCTTGTTCTTTGCTATTCATTATTCCCCTCTCTAAAAGTCTCATCCAGTCAGCTACACCGTGTTACCAATCACATGCCACAAATAGGAAAAACAACCCCCAGTCTGATCATGATTTTTCCCAATTATTGGGTGAATTGTTACGGAAACTGGAACTGTTCACAGATGGACTTGCTAGTGACAACTCCCGGATGAATGTGAGTTGGGTAGTTCAGCTGGCCCCCTCAGCAATCCAGGGCTTTGGTGTTACTTCCCGGTGCTGTTCTGAGTGATACTGACAGCATGGTGGGTTAGCTTTGGGAACGGCACTGTCCTACCCAGCTGGGAAACTGTGTCCCGCATCTCTGAGTTTTGAATCTGCAACGCTCCCTTCTTTCAGGTGCAGCAATTCGCCACTGTGATGAAGAGAAAGGTTGGCTGGAGCCCGATCTCTTCAACTGCACATCGCCTGCCTTCAAGGAGCTCTCAACACTGGTAACTGTCCCCTGTACTCCTCCGCCAGGCTGCAGCTCACTGCGAGGGGGTAGCCCTTGGAAGCTACATTTTCAAAAGAGCTCGGTTCCCATTTAGGCCCCTAAATAAGGACTGGACTTACCACAGTGCTCAGCAGCTACCCTTGTGAGACTCGTGGCTGGGCTTTCCACAATGCTCAGCACCCACTGTGCACCCAACATCGGAGCTCTTTCGAAAATCCGGTCCCAATTCTGGGGGCTGAGCTCTCGAAGATCCGGCCCTAGAGGGGACCAGAACATGACCCTGCTTCCATCAGGAGCCCCTCTCAATACGTGGATCCTCCAGACCTGCCCTTCCTTGAAATTGGGATTAATTTTAGTTTCATTTGTCAGACTATCACAAGCACAAACTGCCCCGGATGGATAAGTGCATTTATCTACCCAGTATTCAAAGAGAAAGCATCAATAATCCCAAGAAGGCCACAGGATCAGATGATTCAGCATCCTCCATTCCATTTCAACAGCAATAAACGTTCATGCAGCCGCTCTCTCACCATCCCCAGCGTGTTCATTTTTAGGCCATGTCTCCATGACCACGTATGTCCCTCGGGGTGTGAAAAAACCACCCTCGAGTGACATAAATTACACTGACAGAAGTGCCAATGTGGACAGCACTATGTCGGTGGGAGAGCTTCCCCTGCCAGCAGAGCTACCGTCGCTCATTGGAGGTGAATTAATTATGTCAACGGGAGTGCTCTCCCATCGGGCGACTAGGGACAGCTTCCAGCAGCAAAGCTGCAGCAATACAGCTGCGCCGCTGTAAGCTGTCTAGCGTAGACACAGCCTTAGTTATTGGCTGATCAGTAAGATGAAATGATGAATCTTTAGGTTCCTCTAACAATTTCGTTTCCAGGCATTGGGACAAGTCATTACTGCTGGACTGTTAATTTCAACGCTGAGCCTGTCTTTGAAATTCCTTTGCCCTGCTGGGGAGCTTCCGCTGAAGTTACTTTTTTGTTCACTGTTTTGTCACACAAATGGATAACAACCACAAATCAACCGCTGCTGTTTGCCTGGGGTTCAGCAGTTCCGAGCGCCGAGCTCCGCTGCTGCAAAGCTAAGCAGCCTGTTGGTGTAGCAGGGGAGAGTTAAAGGGATGCTCTCAACTGTCAAAATCAAAATTCTCTCTGACTATTGTTTAGTCCACCTCAGTCATGACTAACACTGAAGATTCTTGTAATTAAATGAGATGGGAGAGAAAACATTGTATTAGCTGCTCTTTCCCCCCAGTTTGTTTACTTTGTGCATAGCCCTTTCCCTAGTATAGTCAGTTTCACCTGGTTGTTTGTGTGGATTGTCACACCACAGCAGAGAAGAAAGGAGTGTCTGTTTTAAAACAGGAAAATGCGATGGTAACACTACAGCAAATGCTGTCTGGGCCCCTGGGCAGACGTGGCACCTGAAACCACTTTGATTTGAAACTTCTTTTGGAAGTTGACTAGATTTCAGGCTGAAGGGGTGTCTCTGTAACCATCAGACCCGCTTGCATGGAGTTAAATGACACACACCTGTCATCAGGGGTTTCTTCTCTCCCACGGGAGCAGATTCCTGAGGCACAGTTTGCTGCTCACTCAAGCGACTGTTTGGTCCCAGCACCTGCCGTTGGCCTTGTGACTGTCCCTAGAGATAATCCTTCCATTGACAGGCTTGCAGAGATGGCCAGTACAGTCCAAGGGCAATCTGATCCCCAACCCAGCAGCTGGGTCTGTAGCGCATCGGCATTTCTCCCTGTTACTCCTGGTTTAAAGCTGGGGAGGGAGGGACCAGATTTTAGCTCCACATCGCACTGCTTCATCCCGTCTCCATTCTCTCTGTTGGCAGCTGGAGGGCCTGGAGCGGAACGAGACGGAGCTGAACACCATTGAGGCAAAGAAGCTGGCGCACCGGCTGCGCGCGGTGACGGACCAGATGGAGCGCTACTTCGGCAACGACGTTCACATCACCTACCGCCTGCTGTCCCACCTGATGGAGTTTGAGAGCAAGCAGCACGGCTTTGGCCTGACCGCCACCCAGGACGCCCACTTCAACGAGGTGAGCGCAGTTCCTGTTGGGAGGAGCCCTCCTCCTTACACTTCCCTGCTGAGCAAGGCAGAGCTCATCGGCGCTGCCCCTTGGTCAGCCACAGCACAGCTTCTCTGGGACGAAGGATGCTGCCTTCTCAGCCTCACCAGCCCCACCAGCCTGGGATTGTAGCTCTGAGCCCTGTGGAGCAGAGGTCCTTACCTCCAGGTAGGATGGCTGCAACCTTTGTCATGGCTTGTGAGCCATCAGGGGTGATGCCTGCCCCATCTCATTGCTACTGTGAGTAGCTAAAGGTTGTGAAGCCCACGGCAGGCAGGGGAGAGCCAAGGGGGTGCGACAGAGCAAGGGCCAGTGTGGATTGAGTGAGGGAACCCTTCCCACTACAGCGAAGGGTGAGAGCGTAGGATCGTCTCCCAGTGGTGCGACGCTCAGCTCCGAGAACGCCCCGTCCCCCTTCTTTCCTGACTTCCTGCAGCAGGCAGGGAGGTCATGGAGAGAGGAGGCTTAGAAGATTTCAAAGAAAGGCCTTTTACCTTCAAGCCCGCTGAAGACTCTCTCTCTGTCTGCAGAACCTGCTGAGGGCAGGCAGCTCGGTGCTGGCCCTAGAGAACCAGGAGCACTGGGACATGCTGCTGCAGAGCGAACACGGCAGCATGGGGCTGATGGAGCAGCTGAGAGAGTACACGGGCACACTCGCCAGCAACATGAAACTCACCTACCTAAATCCCGTTGGCGTGGTAACCCCCAACATCAGTGAGTAGGCAGCAGGCTGGAAGCATTGCCAGGAGGGCGATGGCGCAAGGCATGCAGCTCTGACACCACACCTCAGAGAGTTACAACGGGCACAAATGCTAATCTGAGGCCATGCTCCAGCTGTGATTGTCAGCTGAGGAGGGTGCAGCGGGTCAGCTGTTGAATGGGAGGCCCCCAGAAAAGCCTGGAGTGCTGCAGAAAGTGGTGGTCTTTCCTCTGAGTCAGCTGAGACTTGGGGTGCTGTGCTTCTGGAGGGGATCTAAAGCTGAACTCCCAGCCCCCATCCCTTCGGGTCATGAAAGCTCCCATTGCTCTTTGTGAGAGTCACGGTGTTACCCGCTCTGTCCTGCCAAATCGCAGTGGTAGCAATTCCATTCCAGTTTATTTCCCCAGCAGTGTCAGCTAAAGAAGTTATTCCTCGCTGCCCTGAACACTCCCCCAAGGGAGCCGCAAGCCAGTAGGTGGCTTTGGGATGGTGATTCTACCACAGTAAAGCTGCTGCCTCTCTGTTATTCCCAGTCTTCCATAAATCCTTTAGGAAAGGATCCACTGACCACAACCTTCTACAACTCCTCCTAAGAGCTAACCCTGCCGAAGGGGCCAGCATACCCTTGGCTACCTGCTGTTAACTCGCTGAGGGTTTGCCATGGGGTTCTGATGACTAGAAGGCTGACTGGTTCCACTCTCCCCAAACTCACATGTGGATTTGGGATGTGCATCCATAGGTGGTTCTCTCACATGGAGCTGGGTCTCTCACATGGTCCCATTAGGGAGCATATGTACAGGAGGGCACATGTGCCTTTTATAGTCCCCACATCAAGGCCCAGCAAACTCAGTGAGTGTATTGCTCCTGAAAGTGGGCACAGATAGAGCTAGCGAGTACAGACGGGAGCTGGACATCCTTCTCACTCCCCACAGCATTGCTCCCTCCCTCCGCTTTGCAACTACAGATGTGACTGGGCATTTACAAGTGACTGGGCTGAGCCCATCACACTACACTCCTGACCTCAGGCACATTTGAATGGGTTACTCCAAAGATAGAAGCAAACATGTTAACCCTGGCACGCTGAGCCCATCCCGTTGCAACACTGTCCAACCAGAGTAACGACCCTGCGCCCTGAGCTGTCCCAGGCCCCTGATTCCTCTGTCTCCTCCCCACACAGTGCTCAGCATTGACCGCATGGAGAACAACACCCACGTCCGGCGGCGCTACCCCCGCTACCACAGCAGCCTTTTCCAGGGGCAGGCCATGTGGGACCCACACACCCACGTGGTGCTCCCGCTCTCGGTGCTTACACCCCCCAAAGTGGAAGGTAAGTGACTGGCTTCCCTGAGCTCAAGAGAATGACCATGGTGTACTGGCTGCCTCCCCAGCAGGCTCTGTTGGGCCTCTCTTCATGCCCTGCACCGTATTCAGTACCATCTGCCCAAGGGACAAGCACTGCATGCAGGGTAGCGGGTGGGGGGACATGCAACTGCCAGAACCCCAGCCTGGGCAGTCTCCTGGGTCAGTCAGAGATTCCTCTGCCCCAGGACCTCAGAGACCAACTGTGTGTCTTACCCAAAAGGCTCCTGGCATCTTTTTCGGGCCGAGAGGAGAGAGCCCCTCACTTCCTGGGCTGGGAGGGAGCATCCCATTGGTGCTGTGACCTCCGGGCCCGCAGGAGCTGGGAGCCTGCTGTGCCCTTGCAGGGAGTGTCTGGAATTGATTCCTGGCGATCTCTGGGAATAGCACCGAGTGCTGGCCTCGGGAGGCCCTCTCTGGCCTTGGTGGGGAGGCTGCCATGATGCAGGGACCCTGCAGGCGGTATCCATGTCTTAGATGCCTCCCGTAATGGCCATGGACCTCTCTGGGCTCCTCACTGCAGCCCCAGCAAAGATGAATGGGACATTGTACAAATTCCTTCCCAAGAGACACCGCTGTGTCCCTTATGTAGTGCCCAGCACTGGTACGTGGCTCATGAGCCATGGCCACGGAGATGGTCAGTAGCACCAGGCATTTCCTTCCCCCTGGCTCTATGCTCTGCCTCAGAACAAGACAAGACACCGTTGTTACAGGCCCCTTTTCTGACCCAAGCTCTGCCCACAGCAGCCCCCATGAGCAGGGAAGTGAACGACACAGTGGAGAGCTCCTCCCCAAAGCTGACCCTCCCGGAGCCCGAGCCTGCCGTCACCATCATCATCCTCATCATCTACCGCACCTTGGGGGGGCTGCTGCCAGCTCGCTACCAGGTGGATCGCCGCAGTCTCAGGTACTGGCCGCTACATGTTTGTCACCCTGCCGGGACATGCGCTCTCTACAGAGAAGGCGGCAAGCAACGGGGTACTGCCAGCCATGCAGGGTCTGGGGTGCGGGGCTTTTCAGCGTTCCAGCCTGGCTCATCTGACTGCTGCCTAGTGGCCTGTGTGGAGGCTGGGGGCTCTGTTCAAAGCTGGTATCTGCAACACTGAAACCACTCTCACAACTGGTCCTGCTTGGCCCCTGTGTTGGCAGCCTTCTAAGAGGCCAAGGCCTAGATGGACCACAGAGGATGAACTGCTCTCTCCCCATGGCCTAAGGCAGGGCTGAGGCTGGGTGGGCAGCGTGCAGCCTGTCTTGTGGAGGCGGATGTGTTTCAGGCTGTCAGTCCAGCCCTTGTCAACCCCCTGGCATTCTCTGACAAGGGTCTGACCGGTTGGGCGGCTGATGGGCTCAGTGACGAGACCCTTGTCAACTCTTGCAGACTGCCCAAGAACCCCGTCATGAACTCCCCCATAGTGAGCGTGTCCGTGTTCAGCAACCACACCTTCGTCCAGGGCACTCTGGACACGCCCCTGGTGCTGGAGTTCCGCCTGCTGGAGACGGCCAACCGGAGCAAGCCCCTCTGTGTCCAGTGGAATCATTCCAGCCAGTAAGTGCCCAGCCTGTCTGCGCCACGCTCCAGGCCAAGATTCTCACTAGCCCCGGGGCCATTCCCTGCTGCTGCTTTCAAGAGGTTTAGTAAAAGAAACTGGAGACGTTAACTAGTTCCCTGACTCTCCTGAACCGTCCTTGCTGCTGTGTGCTGGGGGCGGAACTCTGTCACATAGCCCCCTTGCTAGGGAGAGGTGGGAGATCACCAGGGAGGGTGGAACTGGCCCACCAAGGTGCTGCCTTCTGGCACATTGCACTGTCCCTACTGCTGAGGGCAGAGGTCACCAACTTCAGGCAGCATTGAGTAGATGCTTCAACATCTGAACTTGGAAACATCCTGTTACGTCCTGCCACCTTAGGAGGAGTAGCGAACTGTCCAGGCAGCCAAAGGACCTCTGATCAGGCTGATGCTCCTCACCTATGCACCCCCGGACCCCCAGGGCCTGACAGAAGATGTGATTTTTGAAGGCCTATTCCTTTGAGATTGCTCTGTGTTCTCTTGCGGCTGCAGGACTGACCCTTCCGGCTTCTGGACAGCAAGGGACTGTGATCTTGTGTTCAGAAACACCACGCATGTGCGCTGCCAGTGTTCCCAGTTTGGCACCTTTGGGGTGCTGATGGATAGCTCCCACCGAGAGGTAACCTTACCTCTGCAGAGGCGGGAGGAAGGGGAGGAAGGAGCGGGAAGGCTGGGAGGGAGGGGAGGCCGGAAGCACCAGTGGTGAAAACCAGAACAAGAGGATGTATTTCCATGAGGTTATTCTGGGCACACCGTGGACAAGTAGCAGAACGGAGCAGCCCCTGATGTGGTGGGGACCATGATCTAAACGCACCAGAACGTTCAGGGTAGAACTCTGGGTTACACAGGTGCAGACAGTGCCCACTGCAGAAATGTAGCAGAAAATCCCAGGCTGCTTCTCCCATCTAATTCCCAGCCAGAGGGAGAGACCTTTGAAGCCGACACATGCTCATGCTTTCTTGCCTGATTCTGCCTTTTGTCTTTGGTTTCCATCTGCAGCAGCTGGAGGGTGACCTGGAGACCCTGGCCATTGTCACCTATTCCTTGGTTTCTCTTTCTCTCGTGGCCTTGCTGCTGACCTTCTCCTTCCTGACATGTCTGAAAGGCCTCAAGTCCAACACCCGGGGCATCCACTCCAACATATCTGTCACCCTCTTCTTCTCCGAGCTGCTCTTCCTCTTGGGAATCAACCGCACTGAAAATCAGGTAAGGGGAGGAGGAAACAGTCCTGAGTGCAGCTGGGTGGGATGGCGTCATAGAATCATAGAATATCAGAGTTGAAAGGACCTCAGGAGGTCATCTAGTCCAACCCCCTGCTCAAAGCAGGACCAATCCCCAACTAAATCATCCCAGCCAGGGCTTTGTCAAGCCTGACCTTAAAAACTTCTAAGGAAGGAGATTCCACCACCTCCCTAGGTAACCCATTCCAGTGCTTCACCACCCTCCTCGTGAAAAAGTTTTTCCTAATACCCAACCTAAACCTCCCCCACTGCAACTTGAGACCATTACTCCTTGTTCTATCATCTGGTACCACTGAGAACAGTCTAGATCCATCCTCTTTGGAACCCCCTTTCAGGTAATTGAAAGCAGCTATCAAATCCCCCCTCATTCTTCTCTTCTGCAGCCTAAACAATCCCAGTTCCCTCAGCCTCTCCTCATAAGTCATGTGCTCTAGCCCCCTAATCATTTTTGTTGCCCTCTGCTGGACTCTTTCCAATTTTTCCACATCCTTCTTGTAGTGTGGGGCCCAAAACTGGACACAGTATTCCAGACTGGACACAGTACTCCAGTCATCAGACTGGGAGAGACCTAGAGGGTAGGAAGGAGGCCCAGGAGAACAGAACTGTTGGGTGAATGCAGCAGGAGTGTAAATGCTTTGCTAGTTTAGTCTCCAGTGTTTCATATTTGACCTAGTTTGAATGGTGGCCCTATAAGTATTGCATAAAGCAACCTGAGCGCTGGAATCATCCTGCAGGATGCAACCTCCCAGGTTCATTGGGATGCATAGGGGAAGAGTGGGAGCTTCCCCCAGGGAGGAATCTTCCCCCTAAATTCTCTTTTCGATGTAATCCAATCTTTTCTTTCTAGGTTTCATACCATGCTCCTCACCAGGGAATCCCCGCCCCTTTTAGGGCCCTGGCACCAGCCATAGCGTTGGGTCGTGGTGCCAACTCTCAGACACAGGGCAGTTGGTTGCGACTTAGGACAGGCTGTTGCTAATCAGGAGAGGCCCACGTCTGATGGGATGATGAGTTCTCACTCCTGGAGGCTGTAGTGCATCCAGCTCAGAAGTGAGGTGACTACTGGAGAGTCTCCTGTAGCACCAATGGAACAGCTCCTGCATCTGAGCTAGGTCTTTGGTTCAAGCCCCAGAAGTGACAGAGTGTTCCCCACATCCCTGAAGAACAGAAGACATCACTCAAACCACCTACTCAATGGATATCGACATGTGTGTCGGAGAGGGACATGAGCAGGGTTATGAGGCTGCTTGGTTCGGATGTGGGCTCTTTGGGGTGGGTCATTCCAGGGTTTATTACTGACTGTGGACCCAGACTTCTAGCCCCTTTCTAGGAGGTTGGGAATCAGCAGCTTAGGTCAGGGGCATGCAACAGAGGTACAGGACTCCCACAAGCCAGCTCCCTGCCGTGTGTCGAGCAGAATGGGGATGTCAGAAATGCTCTGGGAGTGACTCTGCTGCAGCAAGGGAGATTGCCAGGCAAGGGAGGGCCTTTCCCCTTCCCCAGCTGCAGGGGCTGTCCACTCTTTGAGTGGTGATTTGCTCCTTTCAGTTCCTCTGCACTGTGATTGCCATCCTGCTGCACTACTTCTTCCTCTCCACCTTCGCCTGGCTCTTCGTGCAGGGCCTCCACATCTATCGCATGCAGACCGAAGCCCGCAACATCAACTTCGGAGCCATGAGGTTCTATTATGCCATTGGCTGGGGGGTGTCTGCCATCATCACCGGTAGGTACCGCACGCTGGGCAAAGGTGCTTGGGAAGACAGGTCCCCGCTCTGAGGGAGGGAGGAAATGGATAAAGCTTGCTACAACATGGAAACTGCTTGGCCTTGGGTGATGCCAAAGGCATTGGCCTCAGAAACCCCCTTTGGTCAATGCCAGTTGCTGAAGGAACAGTGCATGGGCCTCAGAGCTTGTCTCCTTTCTGATTCCATGAGCATTGTCCAGCCTGAGTGTCTGGTGGGGGAACGGGTGTGGAGGGGATGTATGTGCATGTCTGTGGGCATCCATATTTGCCACTGTGTGTGTGTTTGTGCTGTATGGGTCTAGCCAGGAGCAACACCGCCGACAGATTCTAGACCATGGAGATACAGTCAGTGAGCTACAATATGGTGCAGGAGTTATCTAGACACAAGGCAGTGATGAAGACACTATGCATTTATACCACTCCTAGTGTTTGACATGGTAGATACCACAGCAGAGGGTGCACTGTAGTTTTCTGGTGTGAAATGTCCGTGGGGCCTAGAGGCCAGGGTCTGACTCTTTCAGAAGAACCTACAAGGCTTCTCACCCTTTTTGGCCTGATGGCCATGAAGCTCCTGCCCTTCTAGGAGTCATAGCATGAGATGCAAATGTTCTTTGGCAATTCATCTCGATCCATTTCCCAAGGTTCATCACCACTGGGGGCATGTGTTCCTGGCAGCAAATGCCCTGCTGTGAGGCTCTGCTGAGGTGGACATCTCGAGGCATAGGACACAGACCTCACAAAGCAGGAGAGACAGCTTAGCCATTGCTAGATATTTCCATTGCTATGGCAACTTGGCCAGAGGCACTGGCAGGAACCGAGGGGAAGGAGGAGCACTGGACGGGGAGTAAGTAGACATGGGTTCTGTCCCTGGTTCTGCCCCAGCTCTCTGTTACGGCCTGGGGCAAGTCATTTCTCCTCTGTACCGCAGTCTTCCCCATCTGTAAATGAGGACAATGATACTGCTCTCCAAGGAGCGTTTTGAGGCTGCATTGACCAATGTTTGGTCTCTGCTTTGAGATCCTCTGGTGGAAGAGGCCATAGTGGAAGTGCAAAGTGACCCCACTGTCTCCTAGGTGGCTGTGTCATGGAATTGACCTTTCCCTTTTTTCCCCCCAGGACTGGCCGTTGGCTTGGACCCAGAGGGCTATGGGAACCCAGATTTCTGCTGGATTTCTATCCACGATAAGCTGGTCTGGAGCTTTGCAGGCCCCATTACTGTCGTCATTGTGGTAAACTCTCGTGTTTATATCGTGTCCTGGCCCACCCCCCATGTCCTCCCCTTCTTTGTACTCCATGTATCTGCTGCCCTTGCCTTCTGCTTACCTTCCCCTGGTTTATGATGCCTCTTCCTCTTCTCATTGCTTTCCCTCCTCCATTTATATATCCTCTATCCCTTGAGCTTTGCTCCTTTCTCCTGTGCTCTCTTCCTCCCCCGGGGCTTCCTTTCTTGTCACACATCCCCAAGCCCAGGCAGCAGTATGTAGCCCAGAGAAGTGGGCCTTGTGTAGAGCAGACACAGGAGGAGGTGGATGAGCCCGGGTCTGCACAGAGTTCAGCTTCCCAGGTACAGGAGCTTGTGGAGGCACATGATCGAGACGGCAGGACTGGAGAGAGAGAGAGCCTCAGTGTAGGAGCAGCAGAGCAGCTTCTAACCACTCTCTATGCTTTCAGATGAACGGGGTGATGTTCCTGCTGGTGGCCAAGATGTCATGTTCCCCAGGCCAGAAGGAGACCAAGAAGAAATCAGTTCTGTGAGTATTGATTGGCCAGGATCCCAGTGGAGGGTCTGCTGCTCTGATCCCTGGCACAAGTATCTGAACTTCTCTCCCTTCCCCACAAGCCATCCCCTTCTCCATCACTGTCAAAATCTGCCTGGCCTCCCTGTTGCCCAGATTCAGCCTTGAAGTCGCCTTCCATTACTGCTTCTGTTGCCAATATCAGTCGCTTCTGTAACATCCGTCCTTTCCTCTTATCCCCACTCCCACAGCCTCTTCCTGTCAGGCCCCCACATCTCACCTTATTCCTCTCCAGTCTGTCCATCTGCTCTCTGCTGAAAGGTGCTTCCTCTCCCATTGCTTTGCCCATGTAAGTCCCCTACTCAAACCCTATCACTGGCTCCCCTGCAGCTGCCATTTCCATTCCTGCTTCCTGTCCTTGTATCCAGGGCTCTGTTCCCGCCTCCATCTCAGTGCTTGTTTCTCTTTCTCCCACTCTTCCCAGCCCTCCTAAATGCCCCTTTTGCATCTTCTCCGCTCGTGCCTTCACTGCTTTCTTCCAAGCCATCCCTTAAGGCTCCCCTGAGCCCAACTGGTCACCCTGGGGATACTGTGTCTGACTGTCCTGTCTGTCTCATCCAGAAGAGAAGCTCCTTGGGGCTGGGGCTGTGTCTTTCTACGTGCTTTGTCAGTATTCAGCTCGTAGTGATCTGTCCAGACTGGGTGTGGGCCCACGAGGTGGAGACGTGCTGCAGGGAGTGTATTGTCCCACTACGGTGCTGGCGCGTGGTGTGGGGAGTTGATGGCTCAGGACAGGAGTGTACTTCCCCTCTGTCTCTGTCTCTGAGTGATAGACTGTAGATTAACAAGAGATTCTAACCTCTGCGTCCCTGTCTCTGTGTGTGTATCTGTCTGTCTGTCTGTCTCGCTCTCTCTCTCTCTCTCTCCAGCATGACGCTGCGAAGCTCCTTTGTTCTGCTTCTAGTTATTAGCACTACCTGGCTCTTTGGCCTCTTGGCTGTCAACAACAGTGTCCTGGCTTTCCACTACCTCCACACTGTCCTCTGCAGTCTCCAGGTAACTCTCCATCCAGCCTGCCCGTCGGGAGGCCAAGCAGGAGCTCTGCCCTTCCCCTCAGGGGAGCATCTCTCACTGGTGCCTTTGGACAAGGAACAGTGATGGGAAAATTTAAACAATGGAAAGGCAGGTTAAAGGGAAACCAGACAGAAAAGACAGACAAGAGGAGGGCAGGAAAGATGGGAAACAGTGAGCTGGGGTCTGGTGGCACCCACTCTGTAGCGTTCCCCTGTGCTTCCTCCAGCTCCTCCATGCTACCCTCTCCAGCTCCCCTGTGCTCAGCTCCATGGCCCAGCCCGGCCCTGGAGCCTTCCTAGAGCTCCCTGCTCTCCAGCTCCCCTGTACTCAGCTCTATGGCCCAGCCCAGCCCTGGAGCTCCCCTGCTATCCAGCTCCCACGTGCATTCCTCCCCAGCTCAGACCTGCCTTGCAGTACTACAGCAGCTCCCATGTTTTATTCTTTCCACTTCAAGCACTGCTGTACACTGAGCTTTTACTCAGCAAGCAGGTTTATCTTAGGAAAGCAACACAAAACAGATTCTTCCAAACATCTCAAATCCCCACTGCTGATGGGCTCTGCCACTCACACACATGTGCATGCGCACACTCTGACTACACCTGCTGATGGGCTCTGCCATTCACATGCATGTGCATGCACACACACTGACACACCTTCTGATGGGCTCTGCCACTCACACGCATGTGCATGTGCACACACTGACTACACCTGCTGATGGGCTCTGCCACTCACACGCATGTGCATGCACACACACTGACACACCTTCTGATGGGCTCTGCCACTCACACGCATGTGCATGTGCACACACTGACACACCTTCTGATGGGCTCTGCCACTCACCTGCATGTGCATGCACACACACACACTGACACACCTTCTGATGGGCTCTGCCACTCACCTGCATGTGCATGCACACACACACACTGATACACCTTCTGATGGGCTCTGCCACTCACCTGCATGTGCATGCACACACACACACTGATACACCTTCTGATGGGCTCTGCCACTCACATGCATGTGGATGTGCACACACTGACTACACCTGCTGATGGGCTCTGCCACTCACACGCATGTGCATGCACACACACACTGACACACCTTCTGATGGGCTTGCTCTCTCTCGTGTGCACACACACACACACTAGCTGTTCATTCCTCTCTGGTATGCATGGCACAGAGACAAGCTGAGGTTGGTGCACACTTCAAACACATGGCAGACACTAACCCCTCAGCACCTCGAGCTTCCCCCTGGCCAGTCACCCTGTGGGTTTGGCTCTCAAGAGCTGTCCCACCGAGCCTCCCTTCGTTAGGAGCATTACACAGACAGAGGTGTTCCCTTAGAGCAGCTGCCCTCCAGCAGTGACTGTGCCCTTCCGTTCGGTCACTCTCCTTCTCTGTTCACTAATCCCCCGGACATTCTGGCTTCCTTTAGCTAAAGCCCTGTGCTGGCCCTGGAGCTCCTGATTTCAGGCACCCTCCTGCTGCTCCGCTCACTCATGTGCTGACTGCTCCCTCTAGTGGTCATTGTCCATGTTCGCCTTCTAATTCTGTAGCCTAGCTCAGTGGTTTTCAACCTTTTTTTATTTGTGGACCCCTAAAAAATGTCGAATGGAGGTGAGGACCCCTTTGGAAATCTCAGACCGTCTGTGAACCCCCAGGGGTCTGCAGACCACAGGTTGAAAACCACTGTTCTATGGTAACAACCACCTTTCGTGGACCCCTTAGACATAGGCTAAAACCACTGCTGTAGAGGAACAGAGACCTGCTGCACCAAGAAGAGACTTCAGTTGTAAGCCCAAATGAGTTGGTTATGATGATTTAATGATGTCCATTCTGAGGCAGCCCTGCTCTGGGACAATAATGACCATCTTCAGAGGAGTTTTCTGCTGTCATAAAATGGAGCAGCAAAGAGTTGGGCCTGTGTTTGAAGTGGATGCACAAGGGCTGCTGGGAACTGCATGCAGGGGAAAGCTAACAGCCACCAGCACCCACTGTTGGAGCTACCCCTTCCCCCATCCTAAGCTTTCTCTGTATAGCCAGTTATCCCCCATCACCTCCAAAGCCAAGGCCTGCTAAGCTCCTCGCTGTCACTGTGACCCCCTGCTAGCAGCAGTGGGCCTGGCACCGCTGTCAGGGCCTTCAGACTGCTCCCTAGTCACTGCACAGCACAGAATCAGAGCTGCCCAGACAACCCCAGGTTCAGTTTTCCTCTTCCACTTACCCCATCACCCTTGGGCAGCCACTCTCCTCTCTCCCCATCCATGCCACTGGGCCCAGGAGCTTGCAGCAAGCAGGCCCTCCTTGTAAGTCTCTGGTGGCCCAGAGAGCAGCTAGTCCAATCTTGTGAGACCAAGCTCCTAGCACTGAGTCATTGTGCTGGCTGGAGCCTATTCATGTTAGTAACTGTCTGTAGCCCAAAGCTCTGTCAGTCTCCAGCAATCTACCCCAGAGCAGACACGCTGGTTCCTGGGGGAAGAAACTGGTTCAACCACTGCTGGGCCTCATGCATCAGGTGGGATAGCATGGCAGGCACTTGTTCCCCTCCCCTTCCCCCAGAGACCCACAATGAATTTGGCCAGCAGGAAGCACTCTCCAAGGAGCAGCCGCTTGTCCCTTCCTCTTCTAGAGGCTAATGGAGTCATGAGTCTGGTGAGCACAGAAATGCCTCCACTCTGTGGCCCTGCTGCCCTATCAGGGGTCTAGATGCAGCACTCTGCACTATGCTGGAGGCCCGGGTGCAGTGCCAGGCAGTGCAATCGAGAAGTGTGGGCTCCCGGCTATGCTGCCCTCCCCACTCAGGCTCACAGCCTTTCTTCCCCTCCCTCACAGGGCCTGGCCGTGTTGGTTCTGTTCTGCATCCTGAATGAAGAGGTGCAGGAGGTCTGGAAACTGGCCTGTCTTGGTAAGAAGAGTCAGGGCGAGGAGGCAGCTAGATCTGCGCAGGTGGGTGTAGAAGGGCACTGCCCCAGTGAGCGAGCCCAAAGACAAGGGCCTTCTCCGTCCCTGAGCCTGCACTCTGCCTGGGAGGGAATCCCTCCCTGGGCCCACCCCAGTGGCGTAGTCAGGATCTAAGAGCAGGGGGAGCAAACATAAAAAAGGCGCCGCCCCCTTGGCTCCTCCTCTGGCCATGCCCCCCTTGGCTCCTCCTCCAGCTGCTCCGTGCCCCCCCCCCCCGGCTGGCTCCTCCGGCTGTGTCACCCCCCCTACTGGCTGCCGGCCGCCATGCTGCGCCCCCCCCTTGCTCCTTCAGCCACGGCTTCCGGCCGCCTTGCTGCGACCCCCACTCGCTCGGCCTCCTCCAGCCGCGCCTGCCACCCCGGCCCATTGGCTGCAGGCTGCGCTGCGGGCTGCCCTGCTGCCGCCCCCCCCCCCTCCTCGCTCCTCCGGCTGCGGCTGCTGGCCGCACTGCGGGCCGCCCTGTTACGCCCCCCCCTCGCTCCTCTGGCCGCGCCACCCCCTTCCCATGGCTCCTCTGGCCGTGCTGCCCCCCCTTGCTTGCAGGAGGTCAGTGCCAGTTCGGCAGGCACGCCGCTTTTTGAAAACGTGCTGAGGGGAAACAGCTGCACCCCACTACCTACGCTACTGGCCCACCGTCCCCACCGAGCATGCAGGTTAACTGGTCCTTGCTATCCTGCTCCAGGAGGTCAGTGGGAAAGACCTCAGCCAGACAGCCACTCTGTGGCCAGGTCCTAGCCCCACAGCTCATGTCTGAATTCATGTACTGTCATGTCCCTGGGAGCCCTGTGCCCCACGGGGAGGCTGGTGGGACCCTCGCCAGTGAATGAAGAGAACCCCTTCGCGGTGCTTGAGACTGGAAACTCCTGAACGGACACAGGCCACCCCCGCCTTTACAGTGTTGGGCTGGGGCAGGGAGAGAATCTCGAAACCCAGCTGCTGCAGTCTTTCTAACAGATTCTCCATGTGTCTCTTCCTCGCCAGGGCCCCAACGCCTATAATAACACAGCCCTGTTTGAGGAGAGCGGCCTCATTCGCATCACCCTGGGGGCCTCCACCATCTCCTCAGTCAGCAGCGTGCGCTCAGCCCGCACCCATTCCAGCCAGAGGGGCTACCTCAGGTAGGAAGCAGCCAGAGTGGGAGGCATCTGGCTGGCCGCTGGCCCACACGGCCACAGCTGAGAAACTACAGACATGGAGCGGGATGGGAGTGGGGCCCACCATGGAATGGGGAGGCCATTGCCTTCTTCTGGAGATGCAGGTGTCACCTCCTGGCCCTTCTGAACCATTGCTACCTATGCCTCCTCTGCTATGACCTTCAATCCTGAGACTCCACGCACAGCTCTGCTCTCTTGCATCACTCCTGACCCACTACAGCCCCCTGCTACTCCAGTCCTGAGCTCTCCACACCTCTGCTGGTGCCCCCACTCCTGCCCTGCAGCATTCCTTGCTGTTCCAGTCCCTTCCCCGCCCCGCCCCAGGGCTCTGCCCATGTGTTGACCTCTCTGCCAGGCACAGATATGATATGGGAGGTGAGAGGCGAGCACTCCGTTACTCCAGGACAGGGACAGATGCTGCCAGGTGAGGAATTGGGGTCTGAGCGTTTTTGCCGTGTGTGTTTCAGAGAGAACGTGATGGCGCATCAGGGCTCAGCCCTGGATCACAGCCTGCTCGGTCACACCGGCCCCACGGACCTCGATGTGGCCATGTTTCACCGTGATGCAGGGGGAGGTAAGGCCGAGACCCAGCCAGCTCGCCCCCGGGACCTGCCTGTGGACGTGAGAAGGCTCAGTGCTGCCCTAGCAAGTAGCATTTCCCACATTAGTGAGCAGCCTTTGAGGTGATAGTTTCTTGCAGCACCTTTGCACACTGAGCACCTCCCACTCCCAGTAGCCTCACTCCGACTCCTAGTACGCTCAGCCTGAGGGGAGGAGGGAGTGCCCAGGGTCACTGAACAGTGCCCCCCTTGGGCCAATTAGTTTCCCAGGGTGAAAACAACAGCACAGGCCCCTCAGGGGGCTGAGGCCCTGGCCTGGGCTGGGCAATGTCCAGGGGGTCTGTGTTTTGTGCCAGAGGAGTGCTAGACTGGGGGAAATAACCCCGGGACGCTAGCAGGCAAAACCCAGAAACCAAGATTCCTTCCCTCCCTGCCCTGCTCAAAAGCCATCCGATTGCCCCCATCCCCACCACTTCCACCCTGCATGTGCCCTGACAGACCAAGACTCTGACTCAGACAGTGACCTCTCCCTGGATGAGGAGCGCAGCCTTTCCATCCCGTCGTCGGAGAGCGAGGAGAACGTACGCCTCCGGGGCCGGTTCCAGCGCCAGTTCAAACGGGCAGCGCACAGCGAGCGGCTCCTCACCAACCCCACCAGCACCACTCCCAAAGGCAAGTACCATGCGAGAGCCCTGTCACAGGCTGGAGGCCCGCCTGGGAGCCACCATGGCTGCCTGGGTCTAAGCAGTTTGGGAGGGAGGGAGCTTGGGGGGACCAAGCTGAAGGTCTCCTCCCACAGGGTGTGTTTCTGATGTAGCTGCTGTCTGATGGGATGCAAGGCCTCCCAAAGGCAAAGCGCTGCTTGGGCGGTCCTAGGAGCAGTCCCTGTTGGCAGGGAGGGGTTAGTACCACCTGGAGATGTGGTGACTCCAGCAGAGGCAGGGAAATCGCCTCATCCCTCCCATCTGCTGGTTCTGCTCCTGCAAGCCCCACAGCACGTTACTGGTGGTCAAGCAGCCCTTGGGACTTTATCCCAGTGAGTGTCATGGCAGGCCCTGCTCTGTTCACAGCTGGGAATAACTCTGATTCCTCTCCCCTCACCCCCCCCCCCCGATATGTTGCACTGTTCTTCTCCAGATGTGGATGGCAATGACCTGATGTCCTATTGGCCAGCGCTGGGCGAATGTGAGGTTCACCCCTGCTCTCTGCAGAAATGGGGGTCTGAGCGGAAGCTGGGCTTTGACATCAACAAGGATGCTGCCAACAACAACCAGCCAGATCTGGCCCTGACCAGCGGGGATGAGAACTCCCTCACCCAGACCCAGCGCCAGAGGAAAGGTAACTAGACTCAGAGCAGCCAGCCTAGTTCTCCCTGCGTGGGCACATATCCAGCTGCCAGCCGGCACAGTGTCCCACTGGCTGCACCCCCAGAGTCTCCCCATTCCCCTGCCTGGCACGCCAGCATCTCCCTGACAGTGCTAGGCTGGCCATCCACCAATAGTCAGAAAGTGGGGCGAGAGCCTGACAGGCTCAGAGAGAGAGAACGTGTAAGGAATGGAGACAAGGGGGAAATTTCCCTTGGCTCAACTAGAGCTATAACTTCCCCTACGTGTTGCCGAGGGACAGAATGGGAAGTAGTCTTGGTAATGTCCCCTCTGCTGTTTTAAGCCAAGAGTGCCGCACTCTTACAGGCAAGCCACTTACAGGAGTGGCTTCTCCTCATGTCTAGTAAACTGGGACATGCATCCATTGTGGGGGTGAGGTGGTGCTGGGCCACGGGGTGTTGTGATTTTGAAAGCTTTGCAACATGCAAACAGAGGTGGCGGTTTCCTCCATCCTGGGGTGATCTTGGGGAGGGGCAGGGCCGCCCAAGCTGCCAAGCCAAGTTCTTTGTCCTTGCTTTCTTGCAGATAGCGAGGAGAGTTGTTTGCACTGTCACAGAGATTCTCTTCACTTTCTACTTTGTTTCTGTCTGCACAGGGATTTTGAAGAATCGCCTCCAGTACCCTCCAGCTCTGCAAGGCTTACCATCCGTTGGCAGAATGACCAACGAGCTTTCCTGGTACAAAACATCCACCCTGGGTCACAGGGCTGTTCCTGCTGCCTCTTATGGCAGAATCTACTCTGGTGCAGGTAGCCTCTCTCAGCCAGCGAGCCGGTACTCTTCCCGGGAGCAACTCGACATGCTGATGAGAAGGCAGATGTCCAGAGAACAGCTGAGCAGGAACGACGCGGGGGAATACTTGGAAGCTGTACGCAGCAGGCATGGGTCCAGGGAGGAACTGGACACCATTCTCAACAGGCCTGGATCAAGGGAGCAATTGGACACTATCCCTAGTAGGCGTGGGTCTAGAGAAGACTTAGATACATTAGCTTCCAAGCCTGATAAGAAAGATCATGGGAATACACTACCCAGGAAGCAGGGTTCTAGAGACCATCTAGATACTTTACCCAGTCGATTTGGGTCAAGAGAACTACTAGACTGTGGGCCAGTCAGAGAGGTCTCTAGAGAGTGGCTCAATACTTTGCCTAACAGGCAAGTATCTAGAGATCGAATGGACACTTTACTAAGTCGAGACATTTCTCGAGAACAATTGGACCTGCTTTCAGGAAGACAGCCTTCAAGGGACCAGCTAGCGTTAGCTAGACAAACTTCAAGAGAGCAGTTGGACTTTTTATCCAGAAGATCTAATTCCAGAGAGCATCTGGATACAGTGCCTAGTAGGCAGCCATCACGGGAAAATCTGGAGTTTCTTTCTAGAAGACAGCCATCCAGAGAAAATCTAGAACCACTTTCTAGAAGGCTTCCTTCTAGAGAAAATCTAGAACCTCTGTCTAGGAGACAGCCTTCTAGGGAAAATCTGGAAGCAATCCCTAGCCGACATCCTTCCACTGAGCAATTAGATATCCTTTCTTCCATCCTTGCTTCTTTTAATTCTTCTGTCCTGTCCTCTGTGCAATCCTCCAGTACTCCCTCTGGCCCACAGACCACAGCAACTCCTTCTGCTGTGCAGACTTCCTCAACGCCCTCTGTGCTGTGCCCGTCACCACCTCTCTCTGCTACATCCCACAGTATCTCTGAGCTATCGCCAGATTCAGAGTAAGTATTTCTCCTTCTCCAGGGCAGCTTTCAGGTCAGTCCAGTCCATGCTGTGAGATAGCCAGAGGATAGTTTGTATCTTCTAGCCACTTAGTTTCCAAACAAACGAAAGAGCAACCGAGTATTACCACCTGGAGTATGGGATCTGAAAGCACAAAGCCTCCTGGTGAAACGGGATCAACTCCCATAGGATGAAACTAGTCCCTAAAAGTACTTACTGGTTGTGACGCTCTGTAGGACCCCGTCACACCGGTGCAATGGCTGGAAGTGCTAACATCGCTAAAGGGGCAGCTGTTCCACGGGGCACCCCATGCTCCTCTGGGGCTCAGCATCCGTCCCGGCACACCTGCCGGGTACTGACGGAGGGGAAGTGGCTCTGAGCTATGCTTTTTAGAATGCATGGCAGGGTACAGGTCTGTCTGTTGCCTTCAGCTGTGCATGGCACAGGCACTTGGGTGAATGGGTATGGCCAAGGGTAAAGATCTGTATTCTGTTTCTTATATGTGCCTGGCCTGGTCATTGTTCTGGGAGCCACAGCCAGACCCTGCCCTCATCGTTAGCATTATTTATTGCACCAGGAGGTGAGCATGATGCTTTCCCAAGCCCCTGGCCAAGCAAGGAGAGCCCAGGGAGCGTCACTTGGGCCTGGGGAGTAAGGCCCAGAGGCTACATTTGTTAATTTTGTTTCCTTTTCCCCGAGAAGAATAACGAGAAGTGAAGGTCATTCCTGAGGGGCCCGAGCTGCGGCGAGAGCGAAGGAAGAAGCAGGGACGATCACCTGGCCAGACACTTTCAGCAGAGGTTTGGAGTCCCTGGGTGCCAGGCGCCTACAAGGAAAGAACTGATGATGGTGGTCAGAGGCCCAAATCCACCCCGCCCTCCCCACCCATTGGTTCTGGAGAACTCGTGGGGGGGAGAGGTAGGCAAACCATCTCTGGGAGGAAGGGGTCTCAGGTACCTCTGCACCAGAATGGAGCTGCACTGACCAATCGCCTGCTCAACAGGGCACCCCCAGAGGAGGGGAGAAGTACTACACCATGAGCAAACCCAGGCTGGTGCCTCTGGTTACATATCAAAAGCAAACAGACCGAAATCTTCCTTTCTGAACCATTTCTACACTGTGTGTGTGTGTGTGTGTGTGTGTGAGAGAGAGAGAGAGAGAGGGTGGGGTGGGGGTGGCCGCAGGAGATGGGGCAGGGGAGGGTTTTATACATTTTGTATCTTTGTAATCAGAGAGAAGAGAATTTCTATGGTTATTTTTACGGACTGTTCTGTTCCCGTTGCTGTGATGCTGACAGTGTTTGTCTTGACAGCGACTCCCAGCTGTGACTAGAGGGGCTGCTGCTGGCCTTTCCACAGTGGGGCTGTGCCTGTGGAAGCCGAGATCCCAGTGAGCGGCTTTCTCCAGGCTTTCCTTTGTGTTGTGTCCTGACCTGCAGTAGTCCCTGCTATTCCGGCCCCGGTGCCTCCACAGCCCTGCCAACACCCCTGTCATGCTGCTCCCAGGGCCAGTCCCACTCTCTCCCAGCATCCTTGATTTTCTAGTCCTGCATATACTGTAGCTCATCAATGCATTTCAGTTCTCAGGAGAAGTCTCCTACTGTCTGAGTGCTGAGCAGAGGCTGCCAGTTGTGCCCAGCTGGACCGAGGTTTTGTGCCAGGTAGAAGCCCATGTTTGTGTTAGAGCTGTGCTGTGTCACACAGCCATTGCTCGAAACAGGGGCAGAGTGGGAAACCTGCTGAGTTCATAGGGTTAGAACACAGGAAGGCAAAGCTGATCTGTGAGATCTCCTGCCGAGTGAAACAAGCCTCTGAGAAGCCTTCCAAAGCAGCCTACACTCTGGGCCTCTCCCCGAGTGTCCATCTCCAAAGGCCCGAGTCCCCAGCAGGCCCCTCTCAGCAGGGAGGACGGAGGAGAACACTGATTTTTTTAGCCACCATCACATGTGCAGTGTCCTCTTTTTTCCCTAGTATTAACTGGAGCAAACCCCCTCCTTCCTCACATCCCCAGGAGCCTCAGAGTTAGAGGCTGGCTCAGGGAGAGAGGATAGACACTACTCTCCATAGGAGCTAGACCTGGGTGCTCTGCAGGGTAGTGGGGAGATTTCTCCTGTGCTGTCTCCAAGAGTGGGCAATTCCCCAAGCCCCAGGTTAGCACCAAGTGGCCCAAGGGGAGGAGCTCTGAGATGGTCCCAGCCAGCCAGGGAGCATGGCTGGAGGGCACTGGCCAGGGCACCGTTGTTGCAATAGAGGAGCAGCCTCTTATCTCCATTTTACACGCCAGTCCCTAGCACACAGGAGCCAGCATCTCCCTTGGCCTGTGCTGCAGGCTGCGCTTCTGTCGGGCACAGATTCCAGTAATAGGGTCGTAGTGAGCCTATACCCAGGCCGCTCCATGTGCATGTCCACACATGTGCACCCCTCTCCGCCGACCCAACGCTCCCCTGGCAGCAGTGACAGCTGCCCTGTCTGCTGCAAAGGCCCACAGCTCAGAATGGCCTGAATGTCGAGAGGGAGAGAGCAGCTGTTTTCAACACACTGTAGTTTGACATTTAAGCCACCCTGATGGCTTATCCTTCCTCCCCACATCAAAGGGCTGGGGACTTTGATTATCCCAAGGAGTCCCTCATGATCCCTGTCATTTTATATGCTGGATTTGTGCTTATTGAACCCGACATGAAAATGGAAGTAAAAGAAAGTTTGCCGACCCCCCCCCCCAGCCCTCTTTAACTGGTGTACTGCTGCTGTTTTCCCCAGAGGCACAGGCATTACCTCCCCCTGCCATGGGCGACAGCCTGTGCCTAGCTATACCCTCTCAACCACCAATGCAGTCCATTTTGATTGTCAAAAGCAACGTGTTTGCTAAAGTGAGTGTGGGGTGTTATCTGTGTCTCTCTCCAGGCTGCAGCCCTCAGTGGCCTCGTGTGTCTTGCTCTGGTTATCACCCACTTACAGAGTAATGACACCCTATTTACTGCCTTATTACCATAAAACACTAGCGTAATGTTGACTCAAATTATGTAATGTTTACACAAGGAAAGTTTTTCCAGTGATTGTGCAAACAGGATGGAAGGTGGTTTGCATCCTCTGAGATCTGGCCGCCCTGGCGCTGCCCATGCCACCACCAGCAGGAGCCTTGGAAATGTTAATGGTGATTAAAAACTGTATTCTCAAATACGCTCCATGGTTGGCAGCTAGTGCAAAGGGCCTCGTGACCTTCCAGCCTGCGGCCTGAGCAAAGTGTGTGCAGGAGGAGGAGAACCTCTGCCTTGGAAGCGATTGATCAAATCTGCCTCGCGGCCCGGGTCTGACGTGAGCAAGGCCCTTTAGGAGTGGAGGAAACTCCCCGCACCCGCCCAGGTTGTATTGCCCACCGCAGCATTGCAGCTCACGCATTTACTCTCCTCGACTGGCCGTGGAGACTAGGGCAGCATGCTGCAGCTCCCCCAGAGATGGGCGGGTGGGCAAGAGGGTTACACACACCTACTTGTTTACAGAAATGAAGCTCTAACGTGCAGTGGAGCAGAAAGCACAGGCCACGATATTGGCCTTCTGTCTTGAAAGAGCAGGTTCTGACAACGCTGGGGAATGCAGACTCCCCATCTGTGCTGGTCACCCTGTGGCACCTTCTCAGCGCCATGTTCCTTTCAGGAAAGATCTTGTTTACACTGTTTTTTCAGGCTGTATATAACCAGGACCTAGAGCTCTGTTTGTTACACTGATTTCTACAACTGCTTCTTCAAATGCTGTTTGTACCTTCCATCCTGTTGTGAGTCCATGGGGATCTGTGCTACTTCTTATCACCAAAAAGCTGGTTGGGTTGGCTTGTAACTGGGTTGTGAATGGAACGCGATTTTCGGTGGAATTGTTTTTCTGGAGGGGTTGGTTGGATGAATGGTTTGTTTACACTCAAGGAGCATTAGAGTTCAGTGAGGGATGGCTGTGGGAGATCACAACTCTGTGTTCAGGAGAGGCAGGTGCCAATATAGCTCTGGGCTGGCGCTAGCTGATATGGGCGGGGCCGTTTGATTCTGAGACCACAGCCATTAACCCTTAGAACGCTGCTGCTTTCCAGCCTGCCACCCAGGTGAACGCTGGTGGAGAGCTATATCGGCACCCTCCGAAAGCTCCCCGGGAAACATCCATGCAGAGCTTTCCACGCTGGCTGCACTGCTGAGCGAACACAGCCCCCGTCTTCAGCCCTGTCCAACACTAGCCAGCTTGCGACTTTGGGGAGAAGGGCAAGATCCTGCTCAGGCCCGCAGGTGCCTCCCTCTGACTCTTTGTAGATGACAGGAATTCACACAACTGCCAAATGGTGAGCTAGTGACATGTGCCAAAAAAAAAAAGAGAGAGAGAGAGAGAGAGAGAGAGAGAGAGAGAGAGCAGCAACGATATTAGCCTTGTGCCAGGCCTTGCTGGCCTTTCCTGTGCCACTACAACCTGCTGCCTTGCAGCTCAGAATGTTCTGGGGTGGGGAGACCCCCCTCCATCTTTGGAAGCTGTGCTTAGCTCGTGACTCTGCGGATTGTACTGCTGTGGCCTCGGCTGTGGAGCGCATCCTCTGGGGGGTTGGTTGTCTCCTCTCCTTTGCCCAGTTTGTTGGCACGGAGTGGAGAGGCTCACGGGCTCCGTCCCTGGCCGTGTAAAATTGTACCATGAAAGCCCCAGATTTGAAAATAAAATTCTATAAAACAGTCCTAGGCTCCCTCCTGCGTCTCTCTCTGCTCCGGAGTTCAGTTCGTTCCGTCGCTATAGGCACCTACAGCACAGGAGCCCAGCGCGCTGCAGACTGTCCACAAACAGCACCGTTGTGACCAGCCTTATCCTGCGTGGAGGGCAGCAGCATACTGAACACTGGAGGGGGGAAGGGGAAAATTTAAGCAAGGATGCGGGTGGGAAAGCCCAGCTCTGGAGAAATGCCCCAGGCTCTTTAATAACAGTGCAGAGGAGATGGGCACATAGGGTTGAAGGTCTGACCCAAAAGACCCATGTACCATACAGTGCATGGACCTCAGCTAATCTCCCTGGGGAGCAGGGAGGGCTGAGCTGCCACTCTGACCAGCTGGCATAGAGTCTGGGCCCCACTTAAAAGGGCACCATGCAAAAGAAGGGCGGGTGGGAGCGAGAGAGCTTCTGAGTCTGCCCGTGAGTGGGAGGGGATGAGACAGATGGGGATGTGCAGGCACTGGTGTGTGAAAAGGGGAAAACGGGGGGCACTGGGAGTAGGAGATGTTTGGAGTAATAGCTAAGAGCCCAGCAGTTAATTAGAAAGCTGACACTGCAGACTCCTACAGTGCTAGGGCCATATAAATACCTACAGTCCAGCGGGGCTCATCCAGACCCCACAGCCAAACACCCCAGCACGTAGCAGAGGACAGACTCCAAGCCCAAGCTAAAGTTGGTAGGCAGAGGCAGCCCAGCCCCCTTGTGAGATGAATTCAACTGCAGGAGCAGGGCAGGCACTCCCCAAAACTCCCCCACCCAGCTCCCTAGTACCAAGGGGCACAGCCCATGAATCATTTTCTAGAAGCCTTAAGTCAGCAGAACTGTCCTTGGCTGAGCAGGGATCCTGCAGGCAGGACGTGTTCCCAGCAAGCTGGGGGACAATTCCCCCTTTCCACGGGGCACTCAAGCTGGGTGGGTGCATGAGATGTGGGACGATATGCTTTTATCCCTACAGCAAGCGCAGGCTCCTTGTAACGACCAGCCCCGCACAGCCACGTGGGAGCTATGTGATTCCTGCACCGCCAGCCTGTAGCTGGAGAATAGCTTCTCCCTGCACAAGGACAGGTGGCCACAGAGACCCGGGGGAGCCTCCCGTCAGTTTTTTCTAGGTCTCCTCATTTGTTGTTCTAGTGCATGTGAAAGTGAGGGCCGAGAGCACTGGCCAGGCCAGGACAGCCTAGGCAGGCTCTGCACTGCACCTCAGCCCTGCTGTGCTTCCCCCAACCCCCATCCAGCTCAACCACTGCCCCAGGCTCCTCACCTGCAGCCCTCTGCTACACCACTCCTGGGCCCTCCACACAGCCCTGCCCAGGCCCCTTTAGCCTGACCTGCAGCACAGAGCCTCCGGCACTGCGAGGGTCTGCTCTGGGGTGAGGGGCCCATACCAGTAAGGGAGGCTTAGTGTGTGATTGTGGGCCAATTCCCCCACCTGGCTCTTTGTGCCACCACGTTCCCCCGGAACCAAGGGGTGTAAAATGCTCCTCTGAGCAGGCAGCATTTCGCACTCACAAGGCCCTGCTGTGAGCGACTCCAGCAGCCGCTAGCCAGAGGAAGCCTCAAGAGTTGAACACATTTGTAGTGACGAGTGGGTACAAATAATATCAGATGGTTCAAAGCGGCGGCGTCTCAAAAACCAAGGGGTCAGCTCTGTGCCAGGGGAGCAGCACCGTTGCTAAGCCACAGTCCACTGATAGCAGGAGATCGATACGTGCTTACAAGCTTGAGATCATGCCTGAGCCCTGTCCGCCAGCCTCTCCCTCTCCTGCCGGCACTCCTACACCAGATCCTGTTCTCCAAGGGATAGGAGAAAAAGCGGGGCCAGGAGAAAGCCACGAAATTGAGCGCAAAGGTTACGGTAGACCGCCACTAGATTAGACACCTGCCTCTCCTTTATTACTGAAAAAAGGGCCTTTCCCGGAGCACCCTTTGCCAGGTTTGGCTAGCTGGGGTTTGAGTCTTCGCTCCACACTGCGTTGCAGCGTCAGGAGTAACCCCAGTGAAGCCAGCAGTTACCCCAGGTACAAACTGTGTCGTGGGGAGGAGAATTAGGCCCACTGGGTCAATGTAAACAATTTCTAAGAGCTGTGATCTCTAAATTCCTTACTAAGTTATCCGGGTTCTGAGCTCCCCTCCCCCAAGGCCTCCTCATGTATTTAGTCCAGCCCTGCAGCCCTGTGGTTAGGCCCTGGCAAGGGTGGCTGTCCCCTTTAAAAGAAGCAGGTCTAGTTCCCCTGTGCCAGAGCCAGTACTCCCAATTGGGCCAATAAAGATGGCAGGGCAGCACCTGGGCCTATCAAGGAGGCTCAGCAGGTGAGGTAGTTCCTGGGGGAAGGTTGAAGGCAGGTGATGAGTACAAGGGTTGGCTGTGATCTCCCCAAGCTGGAGAGCTAGGGTTAGAGAGGGTTGAAGGCAGTACAGGCCTGCTGAGCCAGCGCTGAAGAGCGGAGTAACATAGGGGGAGAAAGGGGTTTCCGTGGTGAGCTAGCAGCCTGCTATGGGCCAGGGGGTGGGGCAGAGCTAGGCCAGGCCTACTTTCTGGCCTGCCTGGGGTGGGAGGTTAATGGAACAGGGGCAGTGCTGGATGCGCCCCGGTGAGGATGAACTCCCAGCTGAAAGGGCTGGGGTGGCTGTACTGGCAGGGCAGGAGGGGACAGAAGAGCAGCCCAGATGTGGAAGCTGCCTGAGTGTCGTCCATGCTTTGCTTGCTGACTTGATGACAGGGGCCTCTTAAGGACTGCATGCCCTGGGGGTGAGACATGGACTATGTTATGGAACTCCTGGATAGGGTGACCAGGTGTCTGGGTTTTTACCAGAACCCCCGGTCGAAAAGGGATCCCGGCGTCTCCGGTCAGCGCTGCTGACCGAGCCGTTGACTGTTTGGTTGGCAGTGCTATGCAGTGGGGCTGGCAGGCTCCCTGCTAGCCTCCGCGCTGCACGGCTCCTGGGAAGCAGCCGGTATGTTTGTCCCCCATCCGGCTCCTACACCTAGGTCAAGGGTGAGGAACCTACAGCCCGTGGGCCAGATCTGGCCCATGGTTTAATTTTATCTGGCCCGTAGGGCCCCCACCCCCCTGTGGGGCTGGAGCCGTGAGAGCCCCCGTTGCGGGGAGCAGAAGCCCTGACTCTTCCCCTCCCCCTCCCCCGCAGTGGAGGCTGGAGTCACAAGTGCCAACTCACCCTGTTTTTTTTTTTCTGTGGGTCAATGGCCCGTGACAGGAAAAAGGTTTCCTCCCAGAGCCCGCACCCCCAGCCAGAGCTGTCACTTCCCCCCCATGAACCCCTGCCCCAGCCCAGAGCCCCCTCCCACACTCCAAACCCCTTGGACCCAGCCTGTTGCCCCCTCCTGCACCTCAAATCTCTCATCCCTGGCCCCACATCAGGGCCCTCACCCCCCCTACACATCCCAAATGCCTGCCCCACCCTGGAGCCCCCTCCTGCACCTTGACCCGCTCATTTATGGCCCCACCCTGGAACCTGCTCCCCCAGCCCAGAGCCTGTGCCTCTTCCCTGGCCCCACCCCAGAGCCCTCACTCCTTCTCGCATCCTAACCCACTGCCTCAGCCTGGCGCCCCCTCCCACACTCTGAACTCTTCATTTCTGGCTCCACCCCAGAGCCCACACCCCCAGTGGAAAATAAGCGAGTGAGTGAGGGTGGGGAGAGGGAGCGACAGAGGGAGGGGAGATGGTGTGAGCAGGGGTGGGGCCTCAGGGCAGGGGCGGGGCAAGGGTGTTCCATTATGTGTGAGTGAAAAGTTGGCCACCCTACTCCTGGATGGATGATTTGCACTAGGGTTAGTAATACACTGGCCCTGAGGAGGGGGATTTGTGAGGCTAGGGAGCCTGGCATGGAGTCCTTAGGGACCCAAAAGAGGTGGGGTCATAACAGCAGCATGAGGGCGCTTAGCTGGAAGGGGGCCCAGAAGGGCCAGGAGGGAATTGTTCACAGGCCCCCTACATGCAGCTTTACTATTGTCCCTGCCGTGTGAGCTGCAGCCCCTGCTGCTTCAGTCCTGGGCCCCTACACAAAGCTCTGCCATTGCCCCTCAATCCTGGCCTGCAGCCCCCTACTAAGCCGGGCCTAAACTCCCCCCAAAGCTCTGCTGATGTGCCTCCATCTTGGCCTGCAGCCCTGCCCTACTGCAGTCCTTTGCTCCCCTTCTCTTGAAAACCTGGTCTGTGAAGAACCAAGGACCTTCTCCCTCTGAGCAGCTTCCTCCCACTGGGAGCCTCCTGCTGCCTCCAGCACTGTCACCCACTGGGATGCATCAACAGGTGACTTTTCTACTGCAGGTCAATCTTAGGCTGTGAGTGTGGGGTCCAGGTCGCTTGCTCCTGGATGCTGAGTGTGGCTAAAGGGATGCAGAGGACAAAGACTGATGCAGATGAGGAGCATGTTCTTCCTCCTCTGGAGCCAGGATAGAGGCGTGAGAAACCAAGTGACCATCCTGGGAGCTGGCAGGCGAAGACCACAGTGTCCATGTGGCAGAGGGGGCAGGGAGGAAGAGCTCTCTGGGAGAGGGTGAGGAAGGACCGCAGGGAGGAAGAGTTGGGGGTGAAGGCAAGGAGGAAGAATTGGGGGCACAGTGCTGAGGGAAACTCCTCTTACCAGTGGCTCCAGGCCCTGTGTAACCTTAAGCCATTTGTGGGGAGGAAGGTAGGAGCCCAGTTGGCTGGAAGTTCAGTGATAGGAGACAGGGGAGAAATGGGGATAGTGATGAGGGAGGGGGTAGCAGTGGGGATCTGAGACAGAATGAGGAAAGTGAGACAGGGAGGGGCAATAAAAAGGCTGTAAAGGGCCCTGAGCTGCTACCTGTGGCAGGGCTTTTATAGCTTTATGGGGCTGGAATAGCTCTGGTACACACAGTCCCCGATAAGGGAAGGAATGAGCAGTGCTGCTCAGGGGGAGGAGCTGCAGCAACAGGGCATAGGGGCCATCCCAGCATGTCCAGACAGCCAGGTGGGACCCTTC